TTTGGTAATTTGTACCTTTCTAGGAATCTGTCCATTTCATCTGTATCTTCTATTCTGTGAGAGTAAAGATTCTCAAAGTAGCTATTGATAATCTTCTGAATTTCCAGTGGGTCTGTGGTGATTACACCCTTTTCATTCCTTATTGCTTATATTTGAATTTTTTTTTTTCCTCTTTCTGATGAGGTTAACTAGGAGCTTATCTATTTTATTTAATCTTTCAAAGAACCAGCTTTTTGCTTCGTTAATTCTTTGAACTGTTTTCTTGGTCTCAATTGAATTAATTTTTGCGCTAATATTTATGATTTCTTCTCATCTTTGGGCTCTGGGTTTGGTTTGCTCTTCCTTTTCTAGTTGGTGAAGGTGCAGCATTAGGGTGTTTATTCGTTCCTGTTCTGTTTTCCTAATATGTGAGTTCACAGCTATGAATTTCCCTCTGAGAACTGCTTTCATCGCATCCCATAATTTCCGATAAGTTGTGGTTGAATTTTCAAAGAATTGTAGATATTGTTGAATTTCTTGTTTAATTTCATCTGTGACCCATTGGTTGCTGATTTGGGTGTCATTTAATTTCCATGTATTTAGGGATTTTTTTCTGGTTTCTTTTGTCATTTATTTCCAGTTTCATTGCACTGTGGTCAAATAATATGCATGGGATAATTTCTGTCTTCTTGCATATACATATACTTAAGCATGACCTATGGACCATTATGTGGTCTATTTTAGAAAATGAGCCATGTGCAGCTGAGAAAAATGTGTATTCAGCTTGTTTGTTTGGAACACTCTGTATATGTCCACCAAGTCCATTTGTTTCAAGCTCTGGTTCAGTTCTGTTATTTGTTTGCTAATTTTTTGTCTGGTTGACCTATCTTTTTGGGATGGGGGGGTCAAGATCTCATGTTAAAATTGTGGTATTAGATATTAGATTTTTCATGTCCATTAAGATTTGCTTTATATAGTTGGGTGCTCCCGTGTTTGGTGCATACATATTTCTGAGTGTTGCCTCTTCCTCTTGAATTCTTCCCCTAACCAGTATATAGTGGCCTTCTTTATTTCGCTTGTTGATTCTTGGTTTGAAGTTGAGACTGTATGAGAATAGGATTGCTATCCTTGCTTTTCTCTGAGGTACTGGGCCATGTAGTATTGTGTTCCATCCTTTGACTTTCAGCCTATGAATGTCTTTATGAGTTAAATATGTTTCGTATACATATATTTCGTATATGGAAATATAGTAGTGGATTTTGTTTCCTAATCCACTGTGCCAGTCTATTTCTCTTTTTTTTTAAATACTCTTTGACTTTTTTTTGGGGGGGGGCGGAACAGGGGATTGAACTCAGGGTTGCTAGGGAAGTGCTTATTTCACTGAGCCATCTCTTCGGCCCCCATTGTATTTCTCTTAATTGATGAACTGAGTCCATTTACATTGATGGTTAGAATTGAGATGTTTTGACTTACGATCAATATGTTATTTACCTGTTGTTGTTTACTCCTTTTTCTCCTGTGATTAATTGTTTGCCCTATTTAGCTGGTTGCTTCTGATCTCATTCGTGAAGTTCTGATCATTTTGGTCCCCCTCTAGTACATCTTTCAGGAGCCTGTGTAGGGTTGGCTTTGTCATCATGAAATTCTTTAGTTGTTCTTTTTCATGGAAGTATTTCACTTC